TCTCTGTCTCTATTTCTCTATCTCTGTGTCTATCTTGCTATCTTTCAAATGAAATGAAAATAAATAAATAAAAATTTAAAACAGCCACAAAAAAACATGGTTAGGTTAAAGCTCATAGGCCCTCCAAGGACCAGGAGAGATTTAGGCATGACTTGAGCTCAGGCATGCTCAGGGCCTGCTTCCTTCTGTATGGTTCCTGAGCTGACCAGGGCCCTATGTCCTCTAGGTCACTGTCCCATTCCTGGTGGGTCCATGAGGCTGTGGCTGCATTCTTTTGTTTTGCAGACAGTCCCTGGGGAGGTTGCTCATCTCTGCCATGTCCCCTGATGTGGAGAGGGGTTCCTGTGCATAGGAGCAGGGAGGAGGTGAGGAGAGGAGAGAAGGTCCTGGGGATGGGTATGTAGCACCAGGACCCAGGATATGTTGCAAAGAGGAGTTTGTGAGCCGTTGGCTTTGGAGTTGACCACAAACAGTCACACATGCCTACAGCTACTCACTCAGCAAATATCTGAGTACCGGCTGGGATGTGACTGTAGGGCCTGGGTAGGGATCACGTGGTCAGCCTACTAGGAATTAGAATGAGAGTGTCGCCATCTGTGTCGAGTGAGGACATGGGAGTCCATCCCAGAGCTGGCCTGCTACAAGGCCACCACTCCCTACTAACTCCTGAGCTGATCTGTTCGTGTCTCCTGACCAGTTTCACCCTAACACCTACCTTGACCCTGGTTGTCTCCTTCATGTCTGGGTGTAGGAAGAGGGGCCGTGCAGAGCCTTGCCGGGTCTAGGGACCAGGGTAAGTGGTGTGTATGTGTACCTGCCCAGGAGCTAGAACTGCCTTGGTGGTCCCGTTAGGTCACTGTGCTGTCTCTTGGGGCCACCTCAGTAGCCCTGTAGAAGGCTGGTGCTCTCCCTTTTCAGGTGAGAAAAGGGATGCAGGCCACCAGGGGAAGAGCCAGAGCCACCCAGCCTGTCAGTGATGGAGCCAGGACTTAAACTCGGGACTTTCAGGCTTGGAGAAAACAGATATTAGTGAAAAACACCTTTTTTTTTTAATGTACCATTGCTCTTCTGATTTCAAAAATAATATATGGAAAAATGTCAGTTTATAAACTCAGAGGACTTAAAAAGCATGAGTCATCCCCCATAAGCCCCTACCCATAGAGAGATAATCACCATTAACAGTTTGGTGTGTTCTTCCACATCATAAAATATATTTTCTAATATTTAGATTCATTACTATAGCATAAAATATTAATTTAAAATTGGTACTTGTTATAAAAAGTTAAAATAGGATAAGACTATAAAAATTCAGCATTTCCTGGCTCTAATTCCAGAAGTAACTATTGTTAGTTAAGGGTGTGCCTTCTACACATTTTCTTTCACACACATATGCATTTATAATGTTTGTTTTTACCCAAGTAAATTCATATACATTCTCTTATACAACTTGGACTTTTTAAGGAGGATACCACTTATTATGGGATTTTCCAAACATAAGAATAGACAATATAGTTGGCCCCCATTCATCATCCAGCCCCAACAATCAGTTGTTTTTTTTTGTTTTTTTTTTAAGATTTATTTATTTGAGAGGCAAAGTTACAGACAGAGAGAGAGAAAGGTTTTCCATCTGCTGGTTCACTCCCCAAATGGCCTCAATAGCTGGAGCTGAGCCAGTCTGAAGCCAGGAGCAGGAGCTTCTTCCAGGTCTCCAGTGTGCGTGCATGGGCCCAAGCTCTTGCGCCATCTTCCTCTGCTTTCCCAGACACATCAGCAGGGAGCTGGGTCGGAAGAGGAGCAGCCAGGACATGAACCAGTGCCCCATGGGATACCAGTACCACAGGTGGATACCTAACCTACTACACCACAGTGCCACCCTAACAATCACTTCTTTATTCTTGTTTCATCTTTTCTCTCCACTGTATTTTTCCTCCTAGAGTATTTTAATTTATTATTTTTTTTTGACAGGCAGAGTTAGACTGTGAGAGAGACAGAGAGAAAGGTCTTCCTTTTTCCGTTGGTTCACCCCTCAAGTGGCAACTACGGCCGGTGCTGCGCTGATCCAAAGCCAGGAGCCAGGTGCTTCCTCCTGGTCTTCCATGCGGGTGCAGGGCCCAAACACTTGGGCCATCCTCCACTGCCTTCCCGGGCCACAGCAGAGAGCTGGACTGGAAGAGGAGCCATCGGAACAGAATCTGGCGCCCCAACCGGGACTAGAACCTGGGGTGCCGGCGCCGCAGGCGGAGGATTAGCCTAGTGAGCCACAGCGCCGCCCCTCCTAGAGTATTTTAAAGCAGATCCCCAACATGTTATTATTCCTTCACAGATACTTAAGTGTGTATCTCTAGCAGATGAGAGAGAATTTTTTTAATAAAAATACTGTTATCATACTCAACAAAGTTAACGATCCTGTGAAATTGACTAATACCCAGGCTGACTGTCTTTCATAATTAATTTGTTTGAATCTGATTCCAGTGAGATCCACACACTGAAAATTGTTAGGATGTCTTATTTCTCAACCTCTATCTCTGAGCTTCACCCATGCTGTTTATTTTTGGAGAAATGTAATTTTTCCTGTAGAAACTTTCACATTCTGGATTTGGCTGATTATATCGTCATGGAGTATGCACACACACAGTGTGTGTGTGTGTGTTTGAGATTGATTTATTTGTTTGAAAGAATTACAGAGGAGTGGTCGTGGGGAAAAAGTGGGCTTCCATCCGCTGCTTCACCTGGTTCACTCCGCAAATGGCCATGATGGCCAGGCCTGGGCCAGGAAGAAGCCAGGAACCAGAAACTCTCATCTGTGTTTCCCACGTGGGTGGCAGGGGCCCGAGCGCTTGGGCCATCATCTGCTGCCTTCATAGGAGCATAGGCAGGGAGCTTGGTCAGAAGCAGAGCAGCCGGGACTCGAACCAGCACTCTGATGTGGGATGCTGGCTTCACAAGCAGCCAGTTAACCTGCTGAGCCACAGTGGCCTCCCCTGCAGTTAACACATGTGTGTACTTTCTATAAATAGGTCATTTACTTTAGATGCGTGATCGGGGTCTACATTGTGAGATACAAATGCTTCATTGGTGGTGCTGTGTACTTCTTATTGCATCATGTCAGAGGCGTTGTTAAGATTGATCAGTGAACCTGGATACATAGTTCTTAATTTTAAAAAATCTTTTTAAACAAGGACACTCAAATGGGTTGGTTCCTAGGCTCCTTGAGCAGGAATGATAAGGAAAGGCCACAGTGTGGCCCCCCAAAAACAGACTGCATCCCAAGGTGTGGAGAGCGGATGTGTTGGAGAGGGGAAGCGTAGGGTCGGGGAGGAGGTCTTGGAGCCAAGGCCTGCAAGGCACCGGTGCTGCCAGCAACCTGCTGCCCTTCTGGGACATCATGTAAAATGATGTAACTGCGTGAAAAAGTGGCGGCGAGCCGGCCTCCTCTCCCTGCTCCAGGCGGCGAGCTGCTGCTGTGCTGAGGCAAGTTCCTGAGTGCAGTGCTCTTGTCTACCGCGGGAAGGGAAGGCAGCTTCCAGGTCTGCAAGGGCTGCAGCTCATTGGTCCCTACCCCCTGCACTTTGGGAGCTGACATCAAGGTGGCCTTCAGGTGCTCCAGTGGTGAGTCCTAGACCTGCGGAGGCGAGAAGATGTGGAGCAGCACAGTCAAGGGGCTGGCGGGGGCACCCCGGAGACCAGGGAGTCTAATGCCTCATTTTACAGATCAGGAAAAGGTGGCTGGGGGTGGGAAGGGGAGGTCCCCAAACCACCTGGCAAGCTGGAGGCTCCGCTGAGGCCAGCATTCAGGCCTCAGTTCTCTAACGATGGCAGCCAACATTGCTTTCTTAGAATTTCTGGGATGTTGAGGGGACCAGCTGAGGATCCTTCATGTGCACCCAGAATTTTGAGCATCCCTTGGTCTTGGTCAGCTCCTGGCTGGGTTCTTCAACTTGGAGGTGGTGGTGAACAGTGGTCTCTCTGTAGCAGCCTTTGGCGGTCAGCTGGTCTGTGGTGGTACAGTGGCTTGAATACAAATGTGGTTCAGCTCCACATGAGTCAGCCAGCCAAGGTAGCTCAGGCTGCAGTTTCCAAAAGAGGTTGGGCCAGAGCAGGATTTCCCGAAGCAGATTATGAGCGTGCCAGATACTTCAGGTGGTGTGAGGATAAATAGCTTTTCCTTGTTACGTTAATCCTTGTTTTCCACTTATGGTAGAGGTAGTACTGGTTTTCCATTTAATTTCTATCCATTACAATGATATAACCCTCTTCTTTAAATGTATTGAAGCTTAAAACAAAATGTGGATAGATTTAGACGAAATAATGTAGGTGATATTCCAACGTGGCAGAAAAGACAGTGAAAAAGATCACAGTGTGAAAAACACTGGACCGGATGAGCCTTCTGGTCCTTCCTAGTAACCTCCTCGGTTTTCACCGCTACAGGCATGTCTTCATAGTCTGGCACGTGCCGGTCACAGCCCTCCTGCCTGAGCAGAGTTCATTGCTAGTATTGGAGGCTGTCCACAATTAGAGGACAGCCTGAACTTTCCGTGGAATTGAACATATATTTATCACCTGGGTTCTCAGAGGAGCATGTGAAGATAACTCAGACAGGGTCCTGGTTCCTGTGGAAGGCCATCTGCAGGGTTTTTGTACAGGGGTCTTCAAAAGGCTCCTGAAAGTGCATGTATTAGTAAGCTGCACGTATTTCAGAAACTTTACTGCACTCAAATAAGCTTTTCGTATTTTTCCGTTAACTTGTTGACGTATATGTGCGGTTGATATATTTGTGTAGTGTATTCGGGGCCATGTTCATGGGAAGTTTCGGAGTCGTTGCCCTTTGGGTAGTGTCCCACAACTGTTGTCCTTTGCAGACCCTTGGAAGTCTACCCAGGGCCGCAGGCACAGCCGGAGACTGGAGTTGAGAGAAGACGTATTGGACGGGGGTGGTTTGGCATGGAAGGCAGGGGGTGTGGGCTGCAGAAGTGGGTAACCAAGGGCTCTCTGCCTTTCAGGATTTCCCTGGCAGAATCTTCACCAAAAACTTTGCTGACAGCCAAGGATGGCGAGCAAGGGGCCGTCGGCCTCTGCATCCCCTGAGAACTCCAGCGCAGGGGGCCCCAGTGGGAGCAGCAACGGCGCTGGGGAAAGCGGAGGGCAGGACAGCACCTTCGAGTGCAACATCTGCCTGGACACAGCCAAGGATGCCGTCATCAGCCTGTGTGGCCACCTCTTCTGGTCAGTACCCGCTGCCCCAGAAAACATGGTGCTGCGTTTGGGGGGCTGGTAGCCCTGGAAGCCTTGGAGCAGAAGACCTCCCGCCCATTTTGGGTCCTGTTAGACTCAGGCCCCACAGGGCCTGCTGCTGAGCTAGATGACCTTGGGCAGATCATGCTCCTTCTCCTTTCTAGAGTAATGACACTCACAACCTTCTTAAAAAAGATTGATTTAGGCCGGTGCTGTGGCTCACTTGGCTAATCCTCCGCCTGCGGCACTGGCACCCCGGGTTCTGGTCCTGGTTGGGGCGCTGGTTACTAGTCCCAGTTGCTCCTCTTCCAGTCCAGCTCTCTGCTGTGGCCCAGGAGGGCAGTGGAGGATGGACCAAGTGCTTGGGTCCCTGCACCCATATGGGAGACGGGAGGAAGTACGCAGCTCCTGGCTTCGGATTGGCACCGTGCCGGCCATGGCAGCCATTAGGGGAGTGAACCAACGGAAGGAAGACCTTTTTCCCTTTTTCTCTGTCTCTTTCTCACTGTCTATTACTCTCTCTCTGTCTCTCTCTCTCACTGTCTAACTCTGCCTGTCCAAAAAAAAAAAAAAAAATTGATTTATTTGAAAGGTAGAGTTAACAGAGTAAGAGGGAGAGACAGAGAGATCTAACATCCGCTGGTTCACTCCCCAGATGAACGCAACGGCCAGCACTGGGGCCAGGCTGAAGACACCTGAGTCACCCATGTGACAGGGGCCCAAGCACTTGGGCTATCTTCCACTGCTTTCCCCGGGCACGGTAACAGAGGGCTGGATCAGAAGTGGGGCAGTTGGGACACGCACCAGCACCCATATGGGTGGCGGCATCACAGGCAGCAGCTTAAGCTGCTACGCCACAACACTCACCATTTTGTGAGCACCTGCTACCTGTACTTTGCTTGCTTAGCCTATAGCAGTGTGGCATGGTAGTTATGAGCAAGGACTGTATGCCATAATTCAGAAGATGTCTCCTTCTGAATCGTGGCTCTGCCACTTTCCTGTGGATGAACTTGGGCAAGATGCTTACATGCACTCTCCCTAATTTTACTGAACTGTTTATGAGTATTAAAAGACTTGAAATATGTAAAAGGCTTAGAGGAACACATAGCATGGAGAAAATACTGTGTCAGCAATACCCATAGTAATTGTTACTGTAGCTGTTTTTTTTTTTTTTAAATATTTATTTGAAAGGCAGTTACAGAGAGGCAGAGGCAGAGAGTCATCCATCTGCTGGTTCACTCCCCAAATGGCTGCAGCAGCCAGAGCTGGGCTGATCGATAGTCAGGAGCCAGGAGCTTCTTCTGGGTCTCCCATGCGGGTACAGGGGCCCAAGCACTTGGGCCATCTTCTACTGCTTCCCCAGGCTATAGCAGAGAGCTGGATTGGAAGTAGAGCAACCGGGTCTCGAACCGGCACCCATATGGGATGCCAGCACTGCAGGCAGTGGCTTTACATGCTATACAACAGCACTGGCCCCTTACTGTATTTTATATATATATCAGTGTATCTCAAAATGAAGTAGTAGAGACAGTGTCCATTGCAACCCCAGTGGTTATAGAAGTGCCTCCTGGCTTGGAGACCCTGGGTGAATACTGAGTTCTGTTTTTTTCTGTTGACATTTTGAGCTGATCCTTGAAAGGGTAAATTTGGGTAAATAGGAAAATGCCTGTTGAGGCAAAGGATGTGTGCAACCCTAAGGCAAGCAATTTCTAAGGACAGGCTTGTGGGCTGTTGAATTCATATGAGATCCAGAGCCTACTATATACCTCTCACAGCACCCTGGATGGGAGGCGAGGAGTGTTGGGAAATAAGAATGGTTGTGTGAGAGTTGGGCCAGATTATCAAACCCAGATTTGACTGAGAGAACATAGAGTTAATGAGTATTTTTGATCAGGGAAGTGCTGTGAAGAAAGGGTCATTTAAGCAGTATTTAAGAGAGTTTAAATTGCCAACAGTGTAAAGATAAATTTATTGGTGAATGAATAAAATGGGACAGATTTCTTTTTTTCTCCAAACTCTTGCCCTAATCATGGTTTTTTGTAGAAACAGTTGTGATCACTCTTTTCTTAGAAATTGGAGATATAGGGCCGGTGCTGTGGTGTAGCAGGTAAAGCCATTGCCTGCAGTGCAGCACCGGTTTGAGACCCAGCTGCTCCACTTCTGATCCAAATCTGTGCTATGGCCTGGAAAAACAGTAGAAGATGGCCCAAGTGCCTGGGCCCCTGCACCCGCATAGGAGACCCGGAAGAGGCTCCTGGCTTCGGATGGGCACAGCTCTGGCTGTTGTGGCCATCTGGGGAGTGAACCAGCAGATGGAAGACCTCTCACTCTCTCTCTCTGCCTCTGCCTCTCTCTAACTCTGCATTTCAAATAAATAAATAAATCTAAAAAAGAAAGAAAGAAAGAAAGAAAGAAAGAAAGAAAGAAAGAAAGAAAGAAAGAAAGAAAGAAAGAAAGAAAGAAAGAAAGAAAGAAAGAAAGAAAGAAATTGGAGCTGTCAGGGAATCATAAAACCAGGAGTTGAAAAGAGTGGCAGAGTTAAGTAAGAGGCAGGCTACCACTGGAAAGAACACAGATTCTAAAAACAGGATGCTTCCAGCCTGGTGGTGGGCAAATCTGCTAGCTTCTCTTCAATTTCCTCATCTGTAAAGTGGAGATAATTGCACCCCCTGTAGGTTAATGACACCATCGAATGATGTTAATCAATGACGAGCTATTCAGCCACACAGTAATTTTTTTTTAATATTTTATTTATTTGAGAGGCAGAGTTACAGACAGAGAGAGACAGAGAGAAAGGTCTTCCATCTGCTGGTTCACTCCCCAAACAGCCGCAACAGCTGGGGCTAGGTGGATCCAAAGCCAGGAGCTAGGAGCTTCCTCCAGGTCTCCCACATGGGTGCAGGGGCCCAGGCACTTGGGCCATCTTCTACTGCTTTCTCAGGCTATAGGAGAGAGCTGGATCAGAAGAGGAGCAGCTGGGACTAGAATCAGTGCCCATATGGGATGCCGGCACCGTAGGCGGAGACTTAGCCCACTACGCCTCAGCGTCCATCCCACACAGTAATTTCTTTTTTCTTCCTCCTCTTCTTCTTCTTTTTTTTTTTTTTTTTTAAGATTTATTTATTTATTTGAAAGTTTAGAGTTACACAGAGAGAGAAGGAGGGGCAGAGAGCAAGAAGTCTTCCATCCACTTGTTTACTCCCCAATTGGCTAAAATGGCCGGAGCTGTGCCGATATGAAGCTAGGAGCCAGGAACTTCTTCGAGGTCTCCTATGTGGGTGCAGGGGCCCAAGCATTTGGGTCATCTTCCGCTGCTTTCCCAGGCCATAACAGCTGGATCAGAAGCGGAGCAGCCGGGACCTGAACTGGTGCTCACATGGGATGCCGGCACTGCAATGCTGGCCCCAGTAATTTCTTTTTAGAAAACTTTTATTTAATAAATATAAATTTTGAGGCTGGCGCCGCGGTTCAGTAGGCTAATCCTCCACCTGTGGCGCCAGCACCCCGGGTTCTCGTCCCGGTTGGGGCGCCGGATTCTGTTCCGGTTGCTCCTCTTCCAGGCCAGCTCTCTGCTGTGGCCCGGGAAGGCAGTGGAGGATGGCCCAAGTGCTTGAGCCCTGCACCCGCTTGGGAGACCAGGAGGAAGCACCTGGCTCCTGGCTTCGGATCAGTGCGGTGTGCTGGCCGCAGCGCGCCAGCCGCAGTGGCCATTGGGGGATGAACCAACGGCAAAGGAAGACCTTTCTCCCTCTCTCTCTCTCACTGTCCACTCTGCCTGTCAAATAAATAAATTTCGAAAGTACAACTTTTGGATTATAACAGTTTTTCCCCCCCATAACCACCCTCCCACCTGCAAACCATCCCATCTCCTACTCCCTCTCCCATCGCATTCTTCATTAAGATTCATTTTTAATTATCTTTTTATACAAAAGATCAACTTAGTATATACTAAGTAAAGATTTCAACAGTTTGCACCCACACAGACACACAAAATATAAAGTACTGTTGGAAAACAAGTTTTACCGTTAATTCTCATAGTACAACACATTAAGGACAGAGGTCCTACATGGGGAGCAAGTGCACAGTGACTCCTGTTGATTTAACAATCGACACTCTTATTTATGACGTCAGTAATCACCCGAGGCTCTTATCATGAGCTGCCAAGGCTATGGAAGCCTTTTGAGTCCACAAACTCCGACCTTATTTAGACCAGGCCATAAGCAAAGCAGAAGTTCTCTCCTCCCTTCAGAGAAAGGTACCTCCTTTGATGGCCCGTTCTTTCTGCTCAGTAATTTCTTAATAAATAGGAATCCCCATCGTTCTTAAAACCCCAGACTTTCTCCTAAGGGTCATTCAGTCACCTCCATTTCTCTCCCACAGCCTTTGCATTTATTTATTTAAAATTTATTTTATTTGCTTGTGGGGGCCCCAGGCGAGAGGCCAAAGCTGGGAACCAGGAACTCAGTCCTGTCTCCCATGTGAGTGGCCAGAACCCAGTTATTTGAGCCATCACCATTGCCTTCCAAGGTTTGCATTAGAGCCCAGTATTGACCCCAGGTAATCAGATATGGCATGTGGGCATCTTAACCACCAGCTAGATGCCCCCTCCCCCCACAGCCTTAGAGGGAAGCTGCCAGGGGAGATCTGTGACAGAAACCCTCCACTCAGTTCAGAATGGGGTCACATGATTAATGCTGGAGTTAGAGATGAGGCTTCTGTTATGTCCTGGGAGACTGTGGGACTGTTTTGTGAAGCTAACCTGGTTCTGAAATTGAAAAAGGAACTATCCTGAGTCCAGGGTGAACTCGGCTGTAGCAGACACATGATGTGTGAGGTGCAGAAGCCGTGTGTGCATCTTCCGTTGCTCGGGCACATAGTGGGTTTGTAATAGATACCTCTTAAAGAAATGAATGAGAGAGAATGAATTCATGTCACTTTTTGCATACAGTGCTGGGCAATAAAAAGCGCATTGAACTGGAAGTCCAGAGACGTAGTTGTTAGTCCTGGTGCAAGTTATTTCATGTTTCTTAGCCACATTTCCCTCTTTTGAAGGATGCGAGGTTGGGTAGCAACTCGCTAAGAAGGTGGCCTGTTCTGCCAGGTAGCATCTCCAACCTTTCCATTACTCACAGGTGTTTTCTGAGTAGAGCTGAACTTGGAGGCTGCTTCCAGCCAGCAGAGCTCTCAAGGTTTTGTTCAACCACCTGGGAGTCCACCCAGCTCCGGGAGCCTGAGAGCTGTGAGCCCACTGCAGGTGGCTGTCAGAGTGTCCGTGTGTGCGCACACATGAGAATGTCCCTGAGTTCTTCTGCAGAGGGTCCTTAGCTTTTATTGGATTCCTTCAGAGGTTGTAACTTCTCCAAGGTTAACTTGTAGGGGAATTGGGTCTGGGTGGTCCAGGCCCTGAGCATCTTCACGTGTAGTAGAACCCCGGATGTGGAGACCAGATTGTAGCCCAGCCTTTCCTGTTCTCGGATACCTCCATGGGATGGCATAGCCCGGTTTTCTCCTGTTCTCCTTCCAGGTTCTGCTGCTCCCACCTGTCAAGTGTTTCTACTAATGAAAGCATTTTTCTTCCTTTCCCCTTCTCTCTTCTCCTTAATGACTGTTGCCCTCGGGACTCCTGCAGTTGGCCATGTTTACATCAGGTAAGATGCATTTCATTTTACTTTGTCTTTCATCAGCTGTGGTTGCACAAGGCGGCCCTGGTCTCTGGAGACTGCTGTCAGACACTGCAATGTCCCCTGCTTGTGGGCTCATTTGCTTGCTCACCACCCCCCAGCCCTCTTTACACACCTGTCCCCCAACAGGGACTTGATGAAGTAAAGGGTTAGCGTAAACCCGAGATGGTCCCAGCTCTGCCACCAGTTTTCACTTGTTTGGATTTCAATCCTCATTTGTAAGTTGGGTTGGATTTTATATATGAGGTCCTTTTTCAGTTTTGAGATTCTGCCTCTAGAAGAGGCACCCCCTATCATATCAGCAGTACACCCCCATCCTTTTTTTCTTTCTAAAGATTTATTTATGCTGGCACCATGGCTCAATAGGCTAATCCTCTGCCTAGGGCGCCGGCACCCCAGATTCTAGTTCTGGTCGGGGTACCGGATTCTGTCCCGGTTGCCCCTCTTCCAGGCCAGCTCTCTGCTGTGGCCCGGGAGTGCAGTGGAGGATGGCCCAGGTCCTTGGGCCCTGCACCCGCATGGGAAACCATGAGAAGCACCTGGCTCCTGGCTTCGGATCAGTGCAGTGCACCGGCCACAGTGCGCCAGCTGCAGCGGCCATTGCGGGGTGAACCAATGGAAAAGGAAGACCTTTCTCTCTGTCTCTCTCTCTCTCACTGTCCACTCTGCCTGTCAACAAAAAATTTTATTTATTTATTTATTTATTTGAAAGGCGAGCTACAGAGAAGCAGAGGCAGAGAGAGAGAGAGGTCTTCATCCACTGGTTCACTCCCCAGATGGCCTCAATGGCCAGAGCTGGGCAGATCTGAAGCCAGGAGCCAGGAGTTTCTTCTGGGTCTCCCACACAGGTGCAGGGGCCACAAGGGCTTGTGCCTTCTTCTAATGCTTTCCCAGGCCATAGCAGAGAGCTGGATTGGAACCGGCACCCACATGGGATGCCAGCACTGCAGGCAGCGGCTTTACCCACTATGCTGCAGTGCTGCCCCTCCTCCCATCCTTAAAGGTCTTGAATATGTTAGGAAGGGGAAAACTTTTTAGTATCAACAGAGCTTTTGTGAAGAAGAGGAAAAGTCTGTTTTCCCAGCTTTAGACTGTTAGGAGAACCAGTTCACGTTCAGCAAGATTGCTTTGTGCGCTAGACTTGGGCCTGGCATTCACGAATGGCTGTGAAGAACCACTGCCAGTGACCACCTCCAAGGTTGTCAGCAGCAGAGCGCCGTGTGTGTGTGGCATAGGAATGTGGAGGAGGTCAAGTTCTAGCCTGGGTGGGAGGAAGGAGGGAGGGACAGGGCTGTACACTCTGGCCCCAGCAGCCCCTGGTAGCATGCCAGCTAGGAGTTCCGGAAGAATAACTGGCGACAACAAGTTCAATAAAGTGGGCTATAAAATCACTAAATGCTGTAGTGTCCACAGCTCTGTAGTCCTAGAGTTCCCTTTATCATTGGATCTCAAGGCATAATCTATTTGTATTCTACGTTGTAAAATAAATGTTGACAAAAATCTACATACAGAATTATTTAACAAAGACACAGCAGATAACATGTCTTTATCAAACTAGTGAAACGGCCTAAAAAATACTTAGAATTCTGAGGTTTTTTTAAAAATCTTAATTAAATGCAAAAATTGATGAGAGTGCATTTTGAAAAATCAAATTTAGAGAATGATGAGAATCTATCCTTTAGCATCTGGTAAATCACCAGAAAATGATCAGCTAACGCCCCGATGTTGATGTTTAGGATACACAGTTGTTGAGAAGTGCTACAAAAATGAGAAATCACAGAACGAAAAATGAGTGCCAAGGTAATGCAGTTGAGGCTCTGGGGAAGCTAGAGATTTAAGGTTTGTTCCTTCCACTCTGGCAGCCTCAACTGAGGCTGGATGCGTCGGCCCCTTGACAGCCCCAGGCTTGCGGTTCCTGCCGCCGAATTGCTAGGAGCCCCTAGAGAGCAGCAAAGCATGAAGAAGCCTGTTCAATTATGATGGCATTTAAAGGCAATTTTTATTTCACCACTAGTAAATATTTATTGAGTGCTAGGAGCAGGAAATCGCGGGTTCCTCGAGGTGTTCTTTGCACCAAGTCTGTGATCCTTGTGGTCTTCCCACTGGCTCTGACTGGCCATTCTGTGATGGGCTCTGAGCCATTAATGCCTCTTTCTCTCCTGCTTGCAGTGGTTGGAGACCAGACCTAATCGACAGGTGTGTCCAGTTTGCAAAGCTGGCATCAGCCGAGACAAAGTCATCCCGCTCTACGGCAGGGGCAGCACTGGACAGCAGGACCCCAGGTGAGGATTTGGGGTTCCTCTCGCACCCGCTTCTCCCCACCCTTGCCTGGTGCTTGGTGATCCTTCAGTTCCGAGGCATTCTGGTCTAGAAGGGAGCCAAGTTGCCACTTGCCAAGCCACAGTACGGATACCTACTGAGTGCCGTCTGCCAGCAGCGCACGAGACATCACAGCTGCTAGGGTGCAGAGAGAGCACCTCATGCCACCTGGGGCTGATGTGCAGCCATAGAGCCTGCAGGGAGTCGGGTTCCTGCAGCAGCCACGTGTTAGCATGGAGGGGACCAAACAGGGCGTCCAGGTGGCTTTTTTTCCAGAAATGGGGGTGTGGGTGGGTCCTGCATTCTGCAGGCCCAAGCCCTCCATGGTCTGGTACCCACGCCTCTCCAGAGAGTCTCTTACCTTCTGCCACCCCACCCCACCCCGCATGTACACCAGACCTCTTGGTCCACTCTAAGGGGCTTGCCCTTTCCCATTCGTAAGGCTTTGCCCTTGCTCTCTCGTCTGCCTCCCCCAGACCTGCCCAGGCCCCCTCACCTCCTCCTAGAAGTTGTGTTTCTTCCCACCATCCATGAGTTGCTCGCACCCATTCTCCCACCTCAGTGGATTAGGGAAGTCCCTGTCCACACCGTTTTGTGAATGGTATTGCTCCCCCTTGAAACAATGACTACCTCGAGAGTCGCATATGTCATCAGTCTCAGCATTGGTAGCACCTGCCTTCGGGGGGGGGGTGATCAGAGAAGCCGAAACCCCTGAGGCAAAAAGAATAGCTTAAGGGGACTCATTCAGGAGTAGCGAGAGGCATAGCGAAGCTAACGGGCAGACTAGAGAGGCCGGAAGCTCAGCCCGCTCTGCTGCCAAGCACTCTTGGCCTCGGTGTGAATTAGGGGTTCCTAACATCCATGAGCCCAGTATCATACGGTCCCGGGAAAGGTGTCTGGGCGCTCTTCAGAGCAGTCTGCGTCAGATGCTCTGGGTGTAGGCTGTCGTGCGTCTGCCAGCTGTCTTGTAACAGACTGACTTTCTCACGGGTTTTCTGAATAGTTGGGGAAAAACAATTGCAGGTGGACGGGAGAGTTAGTGTTTGGTTGAATTCAGTGTAAGTTCATGTGCTGGGCAGAGAATAAGGTTCATGGTCCTTACCTTGTTTGAGCTCCCAGTTCCAATGGGCAGAAATGCAGAGTATGTTGTAGTAAACTTACCTTACAACATTTCTGTTTCAGAGAGAAGACCCCTCCCCGTCCTCAGGGACAGAGACCAGAGCCAGAGAACAGAGGGGTAAGAAGCATTCTAGGAGAAATTTCTAGAAATGAGCCCATGACTTTGGAAGTTTCCCCTCTTCGCCTTATCATTTTTTCTCCTTGTTCATGAAAGGAAAGGAAAGTGTGTAAATACTGAAAGGAGAAGTGGGATCCCGCCGTCCAGGGATAACCACCAGGGACATTTGCTCTATTTTCTCTTACATTCTTTTATGATTAAATATATAAGCATACAGATTTTTATAGATCTGTTTACATTTGTGATTTTAGGGATGTAAATACACTTTTTTTTAATCTTTAAAAATGTTACTTGTTTTCATTAACTTGAAAAGCAGGACAGCAGAGACAGAGATCTTTTCTCTGCCAGTTTATTTCCTACATGCTACAACAGCCAGAGCTGGGTCAGGATGAAGCAGAAGCCCGGAATTCCATCTGGGTCTCCAGTGTAGTTTGCAAGGGCCCAGGCACTGGAGCCATCATCTGCCGCCTTCCCAGGGAGCTGATTCGAAGCAGAGTAGCCAGTATGGGATGTGAGTGTCCCAAGTGACAGCTTCACTTTAGTGAGCCACAACACCTCCCATTTTTTATTTTCAATTTTTTTGTAGCACATGGCTCCTGTTTTGTAACCCTTTTTAAAAAGTTCACTCATTCTACAGATATTGAGTGCCTTCTGTGTGCTGAGGGCTATTCTAGCAGTGGTCATGTTTCCGGGAACATGACAAGCACCCCTACCCCTAATGGCATTTACATTCTGAGTGGGAGACGCTCAGCAGTACTCACGCAACTTGAGACTTACATGCCAGCAATATTTTACTGAGTGGGTCTTTAGTGTTCAGTCGTGTGGACTTAATTTACGTAACTAGTCTTTTGTTAGCTGTTTAGCTATTTCCTTCATTTTTTCTGTATTAAAAATATTGCAGATGAACTTAACACTTTTTTTAGCAGATTCGCATTTTGATAGAACTAGAATGCATTGCTCAAAAATGTGTACCTTTAAATTAGATATTAATCCTTAAAAACACCAATTTCATGTTAAAATGTTAAATTTTAAAAGCAGAGTATTTACTCAGACTGCCAGAATCCCAGAGCAGGTATATGCTCATTCCCCATGGCCTTCTCATCTGCTTACTTGTGTCTGTACCAGGGGATCTTCAGAAAGTTCACGGAAAATGTGTATTATGAGAAAACTTTGCATGGATTTCAAAAGGTTTTTACCAAAATGACCTTATCTTTTCATTCCATTTCCCCTCAACTTTTAAAAGTACCTGTGTATATTTATGCAGCCACAATTCTGTCTGCTGCTTAAAATTTAACTTTGACAGTGTTTTCCATGATGTTCTGAAATGTTCTCTTTATTTTTTTTTTAAAGATTTATTTACTTATTTATTTGAGAGGCAGAGTTACAGACAGTAAGAGGGACAGAGAGAGAGGGCTTCCATCCGCTGGTTCACTCCCCAAATGATTGCAACTGCCAGAGCTGTGCCAATCCGACGCCAGGAGCCAGGAGCTTCTTCCAGGTCTCCCATGCAGGTGCAGGGGCCCAAGCACTTGGGCCATCTTCTACTGCTTTCCCAGGGCATAGCAGAGAGCTGGATTGGAAGAGAAGCAGCTGGGCTCGAACCAGTACCTATATGAGATGCTGGCACTGCAGACAGAGGATTAACTTTAGGTGCCACCCAGGGGCATAGCAGGAAGCTGGATTGGAAGCACAGAGTAGCCAGGACTTGAACCAGGCACTGCATTGTGGAATGAAGTGTCCTAAGGATTGGTTTAACCCACGGCACTGCAACACCCACCCACTCTATTATTTTTCAAAGGCTGCCTTTTATCCCATTGAATTTTTGTGCATTATAATTTAGATATTTTTCCTTTTTGAAGGATCTTTTAGTTGCTTCTGGATTTTGTTTTTTGAATAATACTACAGAGAAGGGCCAGTATTGGCACAGTGTGTTAAACCACTTTCTGCGATGCTGGCATTCCTTATGAGCACCAATCCTGGCTTCTCCACCTCTGAGCCAGTTCCCTGCTAATAATGCACCTGGGAAACAGTGGAAGGTGGCATGGCCCAAGTTCCTGGGCCCCTGCCACCCTGGTGGGAAACCTGGATGGGTTTCCTGGCTCCTGGCTTTGACCTGGCCTAGCCCAGCCATTGCAGCCATTTGAGAAGTGAATCAGCAGATAAAAGATCTCTCTCTCTGCCTCTCTCTCTCTCTCTGTAATTATGTCTTTCAAGGAAATAAATTTAAGAAACTAATGTTAGAGATAATCTTTGCATACATTTCTTTTTTCTTATTTGAATTAGTGCATTCATTTAAGGTTCCCAGGAATAAGAGTCAAAGGTCTTTTTTTTGTTGTTTTTTAAGATTTATTTATTGGCTGGCGCTAATCCTCTGCCTGCGGCACCGGCACACCGGGTTCTAGTCCCAGTCAGGGCGCCGGATTCTGTCCCGGTTGCCCCTCTTCCAGGCCAGCTCTCTGCTGTGGCCCGGGAAGGCAGTGGAGGATGGCCCAAGTGCTTGAGCCCTGCACCCGCTTGGGAGACCAGGAGGAAGCACCTGGCTCCTGGCTTCGGATCAGCGCAGCGTGCTGGTCGCAGTCTTCTGGCCGTAGTGGCCATTTAGGGGGTGAACCAATGGAAGGAAGACCTTTCTCTCTGTCTCTCTCTCTCTCTCTCAGTGTCTAACTCTGCCTGTCAAAAAAAAAAAATTATTTATTTATATGAAAGGCAGAGTTCACCGGCTCCGCGGCTCAGTAGGCTAATCCTCCGCCTTGCGGTGCCGGCACACCGGGTTCTAGTCCCGGTCAGGGCGCCGGATTCTGTCCCGGTTGCCCCTCTTCCAGGCCAGCTCTCTGCTGTGGCCCGGGAGTGCAGTGGAGGATGGCCCAAGTGCTTGGGCCCTGCACCCCATGGGAGACCAGGAGAAGTACCTGGCTCCTGTCATCGGATCAGCGCGGTGCGCCGGCCGCAGCACGCCAGCCACAACGGCCATTGGAAGGTGAACCAACGGCAAAGGAAGACCTTTCTCTCTGTCTCTCTCTCTCACTGTCCACTTTGCCTGTCAGGAACAGATATAAAAGAGAAAAAGGCAGAGTTACAGAGAGGCAGAGGCAGAGAGAGAAAGAGAGAGGTCTTCCATCCGCTGATTCACTCCCCAGATGGCCTCAATGGCTGGAGCTGCACTGATCCAAAGCCAGGAACCAGGAGCTTCTTCCAGGTCTCCCATGCAAATGCAGGGGCCCAAGGACTTGGGCTGTCTCTACTGCTTTCCCAGGCCATAGCAGGGAGCTGGATCAGATGAGGAGCAGCCGGGACTCGAACTGGTACCCATGTGAGATGCCAGCATTGCAGGCAGTGGCTTTACCTGCTATGCCACAGCACTGGCCCCAGGAGTCAAAGGTCTTGATGGGAACTGAAGGTCTTTTAGCTCACTTGTGAGCAGTGAACAGTTGTTGAATGGGTATATGCAGAACATTACATGGCAAGCGCTTGCTATGCATGGTCTCCTTTAAATCTCACCTCAACCCATGTAGCGGAAGAGGAAACTGAAGCCCAGATAGGTGAAGTGACGTTGAGGACCACAGAGACCTGAAATCCAGATGTGCCTGATTCTGCAGTGTCTGCCCTTGAACACCAGGCAGCACCCCTTCTGCCCCCTCGGGCTCTGGTTCCTGACAGCATTAGCAACTCAGAAAGGGATCGAGGGGCTGTGACCCCAGTGGCTGCAGTGCCCGCTGCTAGTGTTCACACACACCTGTAGCCTCTAGTGATGCCTGTTGCACACAGAAGCATGAACCCGGCAGAAGTGAGGACTTGGGGGATGGTGCAGACGGGAGTGGACAGTCAGTCCTCGGGATTCACTGCTAGCGCTGTGCTTCCTGATGAAACAGTTACACCTTCCCGGGTAAGGCAGGCCAGTCCCAGGAGCCCTGACTCAGCCATGCTGGGTCAGAGGAGGAGGCCTTTCTGTGCTGAAGAGGTGGAAACCGGTTGTTTCGTTCCCCGTAGGTTTGCCCTCTGATTCGATCAGCTTTCCGGCTTTATGGGTGGTGCTGCTTGGCACAGAGCTGGCAGCTGGATGCCAGGGACAGGGAACAGCCACTTTTGTGACCTCGAAAAAACTTACAAATGAAGGCCACACAACTCTGGGGAGGGCAGTTGCCTCAGGGCTTTTTTTCCTTTTATTTTTTTCTTTCATTTTATTTGAAAGGCAAAGAAAGAGGCAGGGAAGGAGAGATCTTACAGCTGCTAGTTTACTCCCCAAATGCCCACAACAGGGGAAGCCAGATCCCAGGGCGTGCATTAGCAGGAAGCTGAGCTTGGAAGCAGAGCTCGAGCCCAGGCACTCTCATATGGTCTTAACCGCTGTGACAAATGACTGCCCCATCCCCCTTAAAAAAAAAAAAAAAAAGATTTATTTATTTGAAAGAGTAACAGAAAGGAAGAGACAGACAGAAAAAGATCTTCCATCTGCTGGTTCACTCCCCAAATGGCCACAATGACCAGGGCTGGACTAGGCCCAAGCCACGAGCCTAGAACTCCATCTGCATTTCCTATGTGAGTGGCAGGGTCCCAAGCACTTGGCCATCTTCTGCTGCTTTGCCAGGCACGTTAGCAGAGAGCTGGATCAGAAGTAGAATAACCAGGACTTAAACCAGCGCTCTGGTATGGGATCATAGGTGGCAACTTAACCTGCTGTGCCACAACACAGGTCCCAACTGCCCCTTTATTTATTTTTAAATCATTTGCTCTAGAGATCTTGCCAGAGATGCAGGAGAAGAGAAAAAGGTTTTCTAAGATGTTCATAGTAATTAAGAAGCATGAGTTTTCAGATAAAATAGACAGTTTTAGCTTTAAACTCTGCACCATGATCAAGTTATTTTCTCCTCGGCCATCTGTAAAATGCAAATGTAATTTTTATATATAATTCAAATATATAATTATATGATTCTTTTATAGAAATGTAAGAATTAAATGATGCATGTGTCCCAGTGCTGAACGTAAATGGTGCGTGGCACAGTTTACACTTAGAAAAAGGGAGCTTCTTGTTCATAATATTATTTTCCTTACTGAATCTTTTCATATGAAAGATAAAGCATTGAAACCGGCACATGGAAAACAATGAGGGGGGCCAGCACTGTCCCTTAGCGGGTAAAGCCACCATCTGCAGTGCCCGTATCCCATATGGGCACCAGTTCCAGTCCCGGCTGCTCTACTTCTAATCCAGCTCTCTGCTATGGTCTGGGAAAGCAGTGGAAGATGGCCCAGGTTCTTGGGCCCCTGCACCTACATGGCTCCTGGCTTCAAACTGGCCCAGCTCTACCCGTTGCAGCCATTTGGGGAGTGAACTAGCAGATAGAAGGAACCCCCCCCCCCCACGCGCGCCTCTCTAACTCTGCCTTTTAATTAAATAAATAAATCTTAAAAAAAGAAAGAAAAGAAATAAGAAAAAATGAGGATGATAGCTTATCTGCTGATAGTGGGGGTTTTTTGGGGGGAGGTGGACTTGAGGGAAGTGACTGTGAGATGGGGGTCTAACTCAGAGACCTCTGTCTTTCTCAGCAATCCTATAATGCATGAATTTCTTATAACAAGCATATATCATTACTTTTGTGGTCAGAAAAAGTATTTTCAGCTGTAAAATTTTTTAAATTATTTTTAAGGAAAAACACTTAGCTGTGTCTTGCCTACTTACCTACAGATAGCATGCGCTCGTGACCATGGTGTTGACTCTTGTCTGATGATCACAAGAGTTCTGTGTTGCCGCATAAGTTAGCATCATGTTCTTTTGAAAGTATGTTAAGATCTAGATCATGACTTCCGTTGTTGGCTAATTGGGGTTCTAACTTTTGCTGTAACAGATAATGCATAGCTCGTTTTGCTGCTGCCCTGTAATTGGGCATGGGGATGATGGACAATTCTGCTGTTAGAAAGCGTGCAGAAATTTCTGGCTAAAGTGGGATGCTGGGAAAGAACCTCAGGCCCAAGAACTCTGGCTTGAGTCCGCGGAGTGTTTCACGCTGGGTCGGAGCCAGTGCTGTGGCCTTTCCCTGCTCCTTAGCTGGGGATGAAGGCCAGAGAAGCAGAGAGGCCACCAGGTTCCTCTGCTTTGGGGTCTAGCTGGGTGGAAACGCTGTCCACCTCTTGGAAACAGGCTGCAGAGGGACACACGACAGGTGACATGTAAGGTGTCCCCCATCTGGCAGGTGCAGAAGCAGCCTACGTTTTTCTCCTCCTCTTAATTGCATTTCTTCCGCAGGGATTTCAAGGATTTGGATTTGGAGATGGTGGCTTTCAGATGTCTTTTGGAATTGGGGCATTTCCCTTTGGGATTTTTGCCACAGCATTTAACATAAATGATGGGCGACCTCCTCCAGGTAAGACCCTGTTCCCTTGAGAAATCAGGAGAATATCCTAATGATCCCACTTGAAAGCTCCTTGCGGTCTGACAGACGTGAGTTACAGATAGCTGTCCTTACGTGGGTAATCTCTTCATATCCCGGAACGCGAGCGAGCAGTACTGACAGCACCGACATAGGCAGGCAGGCAGGCCGCTCGAGAGTGGCAGCTGCACTTGGCGCGGAGCCGGGCAGCGAGGCGGGAGCCTGGGCTGCAGTGCTGTCTGGCAGCTGAGCCAGGATCCTCACTGTGGGGCCAGGAGAGAAGCTACTCGCATTCCCCAGTGCCTCGTGTGCGTGGGCACAGGACAGGATGCAGAAGTGACCAGAGGGAGGGTCTGGCCAGGAACCCGCTCCTGAGTCGGCCCACAGGTTGTCTGCCCCACTCTGCTCCTGGCCCATGGCAGAGGGTGGATACGCCCACCTGCACGAGCCCATCAGCGTCCCCAGCTGGGGAGTTGAGCATAGCACCGAGGCGGCTGCCACTGCCCTTCCTCACCTTATCTGCCTGCAAAGTTTCTCCTCTGTTCACACGTGGTATTCTCAGGAAGGAGACCCCAAAGGCCAGGCTCTGCTGTGCCCTGTGCAGGAGCAGGACCCGCCTTCTAACCTGGTCCGGGGCTCACCCTGCCCCCCCACCCCCGCCGCCCCATTAAACAGACTCCACAGCCAGGCTGGGCTCTGAACCTGTTTCTCTGCCACCCTCAGAGTTTGCCCTCAGCAGGGGTGCTACAGTTTGCCCATCCTGGATGTAGATCATCTTCCTCTCCTTGTCCCAGAGTCAGGACAGGGAGCTCAGAACGATGGCTCTTCTCAGAGCACAGAGGAATAGACCAGGGTTCTCAGCCCAACTGCCACGGCTGTGCCAGGCGGTGGGGGAGAGCAGTCGTTTTGCCTGCCTGGGCCCCAGTTCTCTTTTGGGAAAGGGAGGCACTGGCACTGCACAGGGGGGCTCTGGAGGCAACGTGCACACACACACACACACACACACACCCCGGCAAGCTTGGCTGCTGCCTCAGGAGCCTCCTGCTCTCGGGCAGGCCATGGCCTACCGTGTTTCCAAGGCTGCTGAAGAGAAATGGGAGTAATGGTATCCACCAAGCAGTACTGTGTACGCAACACTCAGCATGCAGCGGGTGCCTGATAAACAGTAGCTTTTCCTGTACTGTTTCCTTTAGAGTTTCCTGTTAGTCAACTCGTTTTCCCATGTGCAGGCCATGCCCTTTAAGGGTAAATTGGAGACCTTGTTCTTGTCATTACATTATCCCATGTATTTTTTTTTTTTTAAGATTTTTTAAATTTGTTGTATTTGAGAGGGAGAGTTAGAGAGAGAGGGAGAGACATAGAGAAGGGTCTTCCATCTAAATGGTTCACTTCCCAGATGGCCGCAACGTCTGGATGATCCATAGATCCATAGCCAGGAGCCAGGGGCTCCTCCCGGGTCTCCCACACAGGTGCAGGGGCCCAAGGACTTTTTTACTGCTTTCCCAGGTCATAACAGAGGGCTGGATTAGAAGTGGAGCAGCTGGGACTCGAACTGGTGCCCATATGGGATGCTGGCGCTGCAGGCAGAGGCTTAGCCTACTAAACCACAGCGCCAGCCCCGTCCCTTTTATTTTTGCCTTGCCTGCTGTTACTTGGGGGTTTGGCAGTCTTTAGCATGCATGAAGATGGAGGCGCTCGGTTTCTGGCCCAGGTGGGCCGTGTGCACAGCTGTGGTGCTGACAGCCTCTCTCCTCCCTCCTCTCTCTCCAGCTGTCCCTGGGACGCCCCAGTATGTGGATGAGCAGTTCTTGTCACGCCTCTTCCTGTTTGTGGCCCTGGTGATCATGTTCTGGCTCCTGATAGCCTAATGCTGGACTCTGCCTGCATCCATCCGTCCAGAGCCACTGGACTGGTCACGTGCCACCCTCACTCCTGGTGTTTGGCTTCCTGGCTAATCCTGACCCCTGCAATCAGTGGGGGTTGTAACACATCAAGGAGTCTCGCTTCTCCCTCAGAACTTGGGAGCTCAAGACGAGTTGTCAAGGATCCCCGAGTGTCACCACTGCTGTAAACACCCTGCTGTAACCTCAGGCCTTGGCTCTGAGTCCTCTCTCACCAGTGACTCCGTGAGATCCTGTTCCAGCCAGTTTAGCAGGTCCTGACTGCACAGGGAGGAGGTGGGGTCGAGGCACTCGGAGTGCCATCTCACCGGAGCTTAGTCCTGCGAAACCAAGGGATGAGCCAAATGGTATTTCTGGAAACTTGCATCTCTTCGCCCTTGATAGAGGCCTCAGAAGCCAGAGGGGCTTCTCATACCGAGGGGGTTCTCCCTTCCCGTGCTGCTCTGTTCTCTTTCCTCATACTGCCCCACCCCCAACCCTGCACCCCTTCCTCAGCAGAGACTCAAGAAATTACTGTCCCAGGAAGACCCTAATTGTGGCAGCTGAAGCTGGTGTCATTTCATGAAGTCACCAGAGATGCAAAGATCTCTTAGCGGCCCTGGTGTCTTCAGCCCCAGAGAGCAGCTGGAGCGGCCTCCGGATCTCTCGTCAGCTTTCCTGCCGAACCTGTGTGCACCTGACTCCCCCTGGCAGAGGGCACATGGCCTAGACTGCCGCTGACGCCGGGACCGACTGCTGTGTGTTAGGAGAGACCTGGTGCCAGGGCTTTGGAGCTCTGCAGGAACAAGCAAGGAGCAGCCCTGCCCGACCTCGAGGCTGTGAGAGCTGGGCCCCACCCAGAGAAAACCGGCGCTCTGTCAGCTCAGCCCAGCCGCGTGTTCAAGACCACCATCCTCAGAGGCTGAGTTGTGCTTTGTGAAGACACGCGAAGAGGGAGAGCAGCATGTGAGCGGGTCTTGGTGTAGCTGCTTGGCTGAAGCCTGTGCAGCCTGGGCCTCCCGAGCAGCCGCCTTGTTGATTGGGCAAGCCAGGCAGCAGGGCCTGGGAGCCTCCACACAGCGGGATGATGTGGGCTTCCTTCCGTGGAATCCGGGGAAAGCATCCAACCCAAGCCCTTGATCTGTTTCTCAGTTCCAAATCTGACTGACGTAGTATGGGCCCTGGCAGGTAAGGGCCGTTCACCTGGTGGGCTGTGCTGTTCCTCCTCTGCCAGCCACCTCCTGCAGAACCCCGAGGGTGACGAGAGATGGACTTCCTAACATCGCCAGCCACACTGCCCCTGGCTAACCCCAGCAAGAGCCACAAAATGCTAGAAAGCCACACTTAGTGCTCCTCCCCCGCCCCCAATATGACTCTGTTTCTAGTTTGTGGAAACCAAGCCCTTGAAGATGGTGAGGGAAGCCCTCCTCCCCTCTCTGCAGCCCCCACGCCTTCCCCTTTGCACCTGTCAGTGCCAGAGTTCAGTGTTTAAAGAGACAAAACAAAGTGTTGAGCTGGTGGTTCAGCTGCTGAATCCACGTGAGTGGGAATAAACCGCAGCCCTGCGGCGCGCCTGATGGGCCTTCGGCAACCTTGGGCACTCACTCAGGTGCGCTGTTCTCCTCACCTTCCGGAAGTCCCCAGCAGAGGGCCCTTGGCGTTCCTCTGCCGTAGAGAGAGTTGGGCGTGCAACTGCCTGAATGCAGCAGCCCCCAGCTAGAGGAGGGAGAGAAGACTTGGGGTACATGGCCTCAGCAAAGCTGAGTTTCCAGAAGGAAGATTCAAGAAGACTTGTGGATAGGACGATGAATCGCTTGGACTCTAAAGAAACAGGGTGAGCCCAGGAGAGCTCTGCCAGCAGAGGCATCTTGGGAACCTGCCAGCAAGGCCAGGCCGACCACACCCTTTGCTTCTGAACCTCAGAGGTCCCCATTCACCCTCCGCCAGGAGCTGGGGCAGGAGAGCCGACAGGGAGCCCTTCCGCTACCCCTCCACGGGCTCACCCGCTCCCCCTCTGCGAAGGCAGCGCCCCTCTCTTTCATGTGTTTCCCGTGTTCTCAGCCTCTAGCCGCCTCCTGCTACCCTTGTGGACTAGGACCAGACCCGGTTCCTGACCACAGGCAGAAAATGGTGAAATATGTACAGTGGCACACCTCGACCAGTCACTAATTTTCACTGTGGTGAAAGTGATTTCGACTTAGAATTAAACAAATGGTTTTACATTATTGTGAGCTTGGCCTCCTTGTCTGTGTCTTGAGAAGCTTGTGGGTGGAGCGGCACCCCACCCGCCCGGCCTCTGCAGGCCACCTGTGTGTCTGTCACACTGAAGATGAAAGTCCTCCGCCAGCCACTGATCCAGGTGAGAAGTGTGGGGCTTCACACAGCCCTGCCCTGGGTGTAGCCTGTCTGACAGGCAGCCCCGGTCCTGCCAAGTGCGCGGAGTTCCTGAGCTTGCCAGAGAGCTGCCACAGTGAGGCTGCACCTGGGGCCATCAGAGGCTTACGATGATCACAGGTCACTTAGTGTCAGCATCTCTCCCGGACGTTCAGCAACAGGACAGGTGGGCTCTCCCCAGGGTTCCTCAAAACACGGGGTGTGGTGTGAGAAGGAAGATGTTGGTGAACTTGCCAGCTCCCCCAGTGCACCAGAGCTGTGGGTCAGGCCCCTGCCAAGAGCGCCTTTCTTCCTGTTACACTTTGACCTCCCAGTCATCCAGCTGAACAGTGCCAAGACATGGTAGGGAGTGCAAAGATAAGAGACCGTCAGGAACTCACATTCCCAGGAAGAAAAGAACAGGGCTTTTGTTTGCCATAAAGAACATAAAACAGACGCAGTAGTAGAAAAGAACAGTAAAACCTCTATGTAGCAATCACCCGGCCCCAGTAGCCATCAACTCCGGTCCAGGCCTGTTGCATCTGCATGCAGCTCCTTCTCCCCCTGCCTGGATTATGTGAAGCCAATCCCAGTCCCTGCATCATCTGTTAAGTGTTTCACTGAGCATCTCAAAGATGAGGAATTTTTAAATTCATGTGAAAGAGAAAGGAGATCACTCTTGCTTGGGTCATTCCTCAAACACCCCCAGAGTCGGGCTGGGCTGGGCTAGGCTGAAGTCAGGACCCGGTAACTCAGTCTAGGTCTCCCAAGTGAGCAGCAGGGACTGCTTGAGCTATCTCACCTGCTGTCTCCTGGAGTGCACATTAGCATTGGAATCAGAGCAGAGCCAGGACGCCCGCCTGGGTACGCCGGCGAGGGCGATGGCCATCCCAAGCAGCATGTTAACCACTGTGCCAGTGTCAGCCACCCATTGGAAATGAGGTATTTTTTAAATCCTTTATTGTCATCAAGTTACAGAATGATTGGCTTACCTATCTGTGCTGTTCTTTTTAAAAAATATTTGGAAAGCAGAGTGACAGCTCTGATGCACTGGTTCACTCCACAAATGGCTGCGACAGCTGGGGCTAGGCCAGTCTGAAGCCAGAAATCAGGAATTCCATCTGGGCCTTCCACATGGTTGGCAGGGGCCCAAGCACTTGGGTCATCATCTGCCTTCCTAGGTGCCTCAGCAGGAAGCTGGATTGGACTCTAAACCAGCACGCCAATAAAGGATAGGATGCCAACCTCATAAGCGGCATCCAGACCCACTGCACTGCAATGCCAGTCCCAGAGAGGGTTTTTTTTGTTTTGTTTTTTTTTTGTTTTTTGTTTTTGTTTTTGTTTTTGTTTTTTTTAAGAATTATTTATTTGAGGGCCAGCACTGTGGCACAGCGGGTTAACCCCCTGGCCTGAGGCTCCGGCATCCCTTATGGGCGCTGGTTCGAAACCCAGCTGCTCCACTTCCCATCCAGCTCTCTGCCTTGGCCTGGGAAAGCAGTGGAGGATGACCCAAGTGCTTGGGCCCCTGCACCCACGTGGGAGACCTGGAGGAGGCTCCTGGCTCCTGCCTTCGGATCGGTGCAGCTCCGGCCACTGAGGCCAGTTGAGGAATGAACCATCGGATGGAAGACCTCTCCCTCCCTCTCTGCTTCTCCTCTCTGTGTAACTCTGACTTTCAAATAAATAAATCTTAAAAAATATATATATTTGAAAGTCAGAGTTACATAGAGAGGTCTTCCATCCACTGGTTCACTCCCCAATTGACCGCAATGGCCGGAGCTGGGCCAATCTGAAGCCAGGAGCCAGGTGCTGCTTCTGGGTCTCCCACATGGTTGCAGGGGCCCAAGGACTTGGGCCATCTCCTACTGCTTTCCCAGGCCGTAGCAGAGAGCTGGGTCGGAAGTGGAGCAGCTGGGACTTGAACCGGTGCCCATATGGGATGCTGGCACTGCAGGCCGTGGCTTTACCCACTGCACCGCAGCGCTAGCCCCAAATGAGGATTTTTTTAAATGATGAAAATACCATTTATAGGGGCTGGCACTGTGGCATAGCCATTAAAGCTGCTCTCTTAGGGCCAGCATCCCCTATGGACACTGGTTCTCTCCTCCTCCCTCTCTGTAACTACCTTTCAGATAAATAAATAAATCTTTTTTTAAAAATCCATTATAAGTGATCGTATATACTTGTTACATCTCACCAGGAGACACGTGACGTTGGGTAGGCCCCACTGGTGTATCAGCAGCCACGAGAGCCTGTCCAGTAGAACTTTCCGCAGCGCTGGAGATGCTCTGTGTTGATCCTGGCCAGTCCAGCACAGCAGCCGCTCGCCGTGTGTAGCTGTCAAGTACATGCGATATGATTGGCAGACCGAGGAACTGAACCTTAAATTCCGTGTTAAAGTTGCCACGTGTGGTTATCATATAGGACAGTGCAGATTTAGATGAATTCACAGCAGTTGAAAAAATCATTAAAAAAAAAAAAAGTTGAAAAACAAGCCTACACCTTTGGGCAAGGTTGGACAACAACATTGCCAGGAACATGGAAGGAGATGGTTGTAGGAATGGCAGGGATGGCGTGGGGCCGGCGTTGCAGTGCAGAAGGTTAAGCCGCCACCTGTGACAGCAGCATCCCATAAGAGCGCTGATTCAAGTCCTGGCTGCTCCGCTTCCAATCCAGCTCCCTGTGAGTGTGCCTGGGGAAGCAATGGGAAGATGGCCCCGGGGCACAGAAAAAAGCAGGATCCCTTCGGGAAGAGTAGACTTTGTGAGCTGGCTCACAAAGGCCTCATTGGGCCTTGATTTTTTTTTTTTTTCAGTGTTCTTTAGATGCACACTGAGACGACATCTCTTGGTTATAACATTTCTGCAGACTGCTTTTCAACTCGCATTTCTCGGAGTTACCTGAATTTCCCTGGGAGGAACTTGGGAGAGTCCCCCCATTCCCTGATGGTGAAGATCTTGAGGCCTGAGACAGGACAGAAGCAGAGAGAGAGAGAGAGAGAGGCAGGGGAAGAGACAGGCCTGGTGCTGACTGGGGAGTGGGGAGGGAGAGAGGTCTTGGTTCCAAGGCTGCCAATGCCTTCGCGTCTGGGAAAATGCAGTGTAATCTCTTTTCATAGGCAGGATGAGTCCTCTTTTTGCTGGCCATGGAGTCCCCTGGATTCCGGCCACTTGAATTCCATAATCTGTCTTGTGTTTACTATAATTCAAGATTTCTTCCAAAGTTATAAAAGTGACTGCCGAAGAGGGGTTCCCAGGAGGCCACGGGTGTCAGGTGCAGCCCCTCCTCCCCAGCACCTTGTGTACCCCGAGAATACCAGGAGCCACCTGCCACCCCCAGAGGAGAAAAATCTGCCCGGCACCCAGTTTGATCCGAATAGGCAGAAAGAGAATTGAGCTTACCTCTGCTCGCTGGAGGGCCGGCACCAGAGGCCCAGGGAAGGCAGAATCTGATTCCTGGGCCCCGTCCCTGCCTCCTCCTAGTCATTTGGACACTGCCCACAGCCTAACTCTGATCCAGGGAGATGGCTGTCGGAAAAGATCCAGCATGAGACGATGGTGGCTGGCCCCTGCTCACACAGAAGACCCCTATCTGCTCCCAAACCCAGGGAGGGGAAGTCGTGGGCAAAGCCTCTTAGCCAACTAGCAGCTGCCGCAAGCTGTTCTGTCGTCCTAGTTTATCTGGTGCCCTGTCGTCAACATAGAAGATTCTAAACCGGCACCCTGCAGGGCAGATCTAGTCCGCACCTGTTTTGCAGAGTGTGTGAAAGTTTTTTTGAATGCTACCAATATTTTAAAAGGAGACTTCACTCCAATGGTGTGTGTGTGTGTGTGTGTGTGTGTGCCTGAATATGCTCCAGTGTGCTGGGTTTATTTACATAGGATGGGCCGGCCTTCAGTATCCCTGGATTCCACAACTGTGGATCAGAAATATTTGAGGGGCCGACACTGTGGCATAGAGGGGAAAGCCGCCGCCTGCAGTGCCAGCATCCTGTATGGGCGCCAGTTCATATCCCGGCTGCTCCACTTCCCCTCCAGCTCTCTTTGACCTAGAGATTATCTACAGAGTGGTGCAGAGAAGTGGTTTCCCTGAGCCGGAAGCTTCTAAGAAGCTGTTGTGGGGTAGACCTGGCTTCTCCATATTTGTACTTTTTTTTTTTTAAGATTTATGTTATTTATTTGAGTTGCAGAGAGAGGTAGAGATAGAGGTCTTCCATCCGCTGGTTCATTCCCCAATTGGCCCCAATGGCCAGAGCTGCGCCGATCCGAAGCCAGGAACCAGGAGCTTCCTCCGGGTCTCTCATGTGGGTGCACGGGCCCAAGCACTTGGGTCATCATCTGCTGCTTTCCCAGGCCATAGCAGAGAGCTGGATCGGAAGAGGAGCAGCCGGGACTCAAACTGATGCCCATATGGGATGCCGGCGCTTCAGGCCAGGGCATTAACCCACTGCACCACAGCACCTGCCCCTGTACTTTTTTTTTTCAATATTTCTCTTTTTAAAAAATATTTATTTATTTGAAAGGAAAAGTTATAGAGAAGACACAGAGAGAGAGAGAGAGCGAGAGAGAGCGCTTCCTTCGCTGGTTCACTCCCCAAATGGCTGCAACGGCCAGAGCTGGGTCAATCAGGAGCCAGGAGCTTCTTCTGGGTCTCCTATGTGTGTGCAGGGGCCCAAGGGCTTGGGTCATCTTCCGCTGCTGTCCCAGGTGCATCAGCAGGGAGCTGCATTGGAAGTGCAGCAGCCAGGACTCAAATTGGCACCCATATGGGATGCTGGCACTACAGGTGGCAGCTTTACCTACTATGCCACATATTTCTAATGCCAAATATCACCAGAAAGAGCTTTCCACTG